AGGTGCATGGACAACACAATCACTTGTCATTAGATGCATCACCTTCATGTCCAGAGTCCTTAAAATAAATTTTAAGTTTTCCAAGTGAGTGAGCAAGAAATAAAATTGTGTGTGTGTTTAATCACATGTATTTTAAAATGAGATGTACATTTCATATTTCTAAGGAGGAATTTTTATTTTCCCAATTTCACAACTCTACATATATAATCAGAAATTGTGAATTCAAAGAGTTGAGTCATGCTCACTGTTCTGACCCCAACCTACCCTGTGGCTTTGACTTGGTTGCTTAACTACACTGAATCCTTATGGAACCATCACCCTCCCATGAGTTACCCTGTAAGAATTGAGAGAGTAATAGTCATGTGTCATACTGTGGGATATAAAAAGACTTTCCCCCCAGCTTTGTCTCCCCCAAAGATATGCCAAACATTAGAGGCTGTTTGCCAGCACTTGGAGGGAGGTCAGATGCTTAGAGATATTCTCCCTGAAGGCTTTCAGCCATCAGACTACAGTCTGGTCCACTGTAGGTGGGGCTCACACCCTACTGATAAGGATGGTCATTGTTTCCATGGAGAGCCAGAGGACAGGTCAAACCTGCTCAGTGACATCCAAGTTAGGCTACCTTCCTGAATCTAGGATCTGCCCATCTTCTCACATGTATACCTCCAATCCCTCCCCTTCCTATTGTGTGTATGCCCCTAGATCACCCCCCTCCCATTACTGTATTACCTAAAGTACAATCCCTCCCTGTGACATATGTCATTACCTGCAATCAGGGGACTTGCAGGTCCCCAAAAGATATATAAGCTTTGGTTAGAGATAAAGCTCTCTCTCCCCTGCCACTCCCACCTTCGACATCCTCATGTGGATCACCAAGCAGGGCTGAGGTGAGCATGCTACCATGAAATGTGCCTGACTCCTTCATTTTACTTTCTCTCTTATCTCTCTCTTATTCTCTATGACTTTACTATAATCTTTTCATATTATTGCTGTACAGTTGCACCTGCCGGGCCTGTGATGATTTGTTAGGGAACAGCTCCCCTGACAGCATACAGAAGAGATTCTTCTACAAAGTCTTAAAGAAGAGTGAGATAACAGGATACAATTCCCCAGCCCTTCATCCATGGGTTTTATTTATTTTTCATCTACTATAATATTCTTCTCACTTCACTTTCTCTAGATGCTCAAGAAGTTAGGCTGCCCTTTCCGTTCAGTCTATTATACTTAAAATGAAGCAGGTGAGTATTTCTTGTCTGACTACCCTCTTTTGGGAGTCCCTATCTGGTGCAGATGGAGAGGCACTCAACTACTAGCTGCTGAACTGCTGGTTGGTGGTTTGAACCCACCCTAAGGCACCTTGGAAGGTAGGTCCAGGGGATCTGCTTCCTAAAAGAAAACCCTATGGAAGACAGTTCTTCTCTGTCCACCTGGGTCACTATAATCAGAAATTTCCTGAACAACAAACAACTATACACTATTTTTAGCCATGTCACTCTAGCTCAAAAATCCGCCATGATTTTTGGCACCAACTTCTCTCTCAACCCCATGTATCACCAAGGAATCTGTGTTTCTTCACGAACAGGAATCATTTACTGCTATCTGGTCACCTCTCTTGCCTGGGCTCTCATCTTATACCAAGGTTTTTTGCAATTGGCTCATCATTGATAGCTGAGCGATGGCTTTCCTCTGACTCTAGTCTCTCTTTATATAATAGATCTGGCCACATTAAAATCCACCCCAATTAATATTGTCACCTCTCAGAAGCCCAGGCAGCAGCCCTCTACTCAAGGATAAAGGCAAGACTGCTCATTCAAGATCGACTCCCAACGGCCACTACCTGCGGTTTCAGACACATTACCCTCCATCCCTTGAATGGACCCGCAGTTCCAGTCAGTCTGAAAGATTCACTGACTTGACAGCCCCCTCTCTCCTCACCCCCCACCAGCCACTTGCTCACTGCAGAGGCCATGAATATGGTACTTCTCCTCTCTGCATGTGCTCTTCTTGTTATTCAGATGTGGAAAGCACCTGCTCTGTGAGTCAAGGACTAGATAAATCACACCTGTAAGGTGTGTGGCAACAGTACCAAGGGTTCAAATAGACAGAAAATGTTTAGAAAATGATGATGGCAACATAGGTACAAGTATGCTTGATACAATTGATGTATGGAATTTTTATAAGAGCTGAAAGAGTCCCCAATGAAATGATTTATTTAATGTGGCAATAGTACTGAACCCCTAGGTATTCTCTAAAGCTCAGCCAGTGCTGTTGCTGTTCCACACGTGAATCTCTGCTTCCTTCCACACACCGTCCCTTTGGTCAGAACTCCCTTTCTCCTCATCCGTCATTACCTGAGAGAGCACTAGTGGAAACCCACTGGTTGCTTCAAGGAGAACGGTAAGGCTGCCTCCTCCGGTAAAGATTTGCAGCCTTAGAAACCCTAAGGATGACTTCTGCCCCATCTGACAGAGTCCCTGTGAGTGGGAATCAACTTGATGACAGTGGGTTTTATCATTACTTGGTCCTTGGAACCGAAAAAACACACACTCACTGTCACGGAGTCAATGCCAACTCAAGAGATCCTATAGGACAGGGTAGAATGGTCCTTGTGAGTTTCCAAGGTTATATCTCTTTACAAGAGTTAGAAAGGCCCCTCGTTCTCCTGAGGAGTGGTTAGTAGATTTGAACTACAGACCTTGCAGTTAGCAGCCCAACATGTAACCACTATGTCACCAGGGCTCCTACCTGATCTTAAAGGCATACCTTTAATTTAGCTTCGTCCATGAACCTTTTCAACTCCAATGATACCTTCCCCTTCTCTTTCTTTTTCTCTCTCTCGTGTAGGCTAACATTACCACATATTTAGTTGGGGTTCTAACTTTGTACCTTTTCAAACTATATTGTCTATCTCAATTAGATTACAAATTTCTTTAGGGCAAGAGCTATGCCAAAAACAATATAATAATCTCAGCAGATAACGAGTAATAAGCCTCTGATGTTTCAACACTACTTATTCATTCAAAAATTACCTCTCTTGTCTTGAAATTTTTACTACATAATATAACTATGAAAACAGGAAGAGAGGGAAGAATAATCTATAGCATCATTAGAAGACTGTATCTTTACTCATCTATCACTTAATTTACAAAGTAAGACTTTGAGTGAGTGAATTCCTAGGGCAGGGTGGGGAGGTGTCAAATCAGTTTCTACCAAGATTGCTGAAGCAATTCAATCCACCAGGGAAAAGAGGAGCCCCAGGCAGGAAAACCTGTCAAAGTCATCAGAGCTCAGCATGACAGGGAGCGCATTGTCTCCAGGGGGCTCAAATACAAATAGGTTAAGAAATTGCCTACTCACTGCCACAGTTCCCACACAGCGCTGCGGTTACCAGGTACTGAGTCAGCCCCCAACTCACCGTGACGCCACGCACATGGCGCGGAACCACCGTGAGCCAAAGGGTGTGCATTGGCTGGTTTTTTCCCTCCATTTTATTGGGAGCTCTTACAGACTGAGTTAGTTAATTGTGCCAGCCTGGCCGATAATCACATGTGGGTCTGGTTGAAAGGCGGAGGGATAAATGGGTGGTGAGCCTCGCCTTTCTAGTTCTCGGGTCTCTTGTTTTGTGATGGTTACATCGGGTGCAGCTGCCTTAGCAGTTCCCTGCGTCAGCTTGCAAGATTGACTTCCTACAAGACATCCCCAAGGAGAAGCCGCATGGATCTATCCCGATGCAGCCCTGGGTGCTGGAGCAGCCGTGTGGAGACCCTTGCCAGTGCTGAGATGCTTACACGTTCACGGACTCAGCTTTCCTCCTGCAGTCGGCATCATTGCCTCTGTTTTGTGAGGTGGAGGACGTTGTGGACTGGTGTTGAGTTAATGGGTTAATGTTGGACTTGTGGGCTTGGGCAGCATTGGGTTGGGATGTTTTCATGATGCACCTTTTCTTTACATAAAACTCTCTCTTATACGTGAGTCGCCGTGGATTTGTTTCTCCAAAGTACCTAGACTAATACACAGACATTATAAGAATCCATAGTGTAATTAGATCCAACATGATAGACAACGGTTGCCACCATCATTTTCAAAACATTTTCTTTTCGTCTTGGACTCTTGGCATCAGCTCCCCTTTATCCCTGCCCTCCCCCACCCTACCCCCAACAACCCTTGTTATTATATTATTAAATATTATTATTGCTATTCCTCCCCACCCCCTGTCTCTTACACCATCCAATGTATCCACCATCCACCCCCCATTCAGTTAGCCGGTCCCCTCCAGTGGGATTATATAGTCATCATTGCTATCAGTTCCTGGCTGATATTCAGAAGTACATATCCAGGTTTTCTGACCAGTCTGTTTTCATCTGGAATCTTCTCAGCGGCACAGCAGCACACAAGCCTCTGCTGACACATGATGAGTAGAGGCTGCACTGGCGATACACTGGCCAGGAATAGAGCCCCGGGTCTCCCACACGAAAGGCAAGAATTCTAACAGGGAGACATCACTGCGTTCTCCCATGTCACAGCCATTTAATAAAGGTTTGCTGAATTGGTGAATACATAAAATAGAAACGGATGGAAACTAGTCTGATTGTGAACAAAATTTCCAGAATGACCCTTAATCTTTTGAGAAATACAACCTAAAGTTATAAATTTCTTACCAAATTCTCTTCTTTAGACTTTGTCAGGATACACAACAAGATGGATAGACCACCAACATATACAGTATATCCTATACGACTCGTTTTCAACTATTATAAAAATAAATCAAGTCTATATATAATAAAAATAAGTCTATCTTGAAATCCGTATTTTGTAAACATTAGCTCTCTTTGTAGGGCCTTAATTATAACACTACACTTCTAGTATTGTTTCACATAATTGCTCAGACACTACAAGGCAGCGATGTCTTATTTCTTCCAATTTAATTGAAACCCCAAGGACAGTCTCTCTCGATTGTATAGAAATATAGAACATTAATGAGTAAAGCATCTGATACTTACGTTCCCTTTAGACCTTCTGGATCCTACAATAGGAGGCAGTGAAGAGGCTTTCTGACTGCAGAAACAAATTGTCGTTTAGAAATCTGAACACTGTTTGCAAATACATATCATACAAGACAATTTTCACACCAACCTGACAGGCCTCACTGGCATTTGGGTCTCAGAAATGTTACCACAGATTTTCCCAAATTCACAAAGAATACCCTACTCTTTCCAAATTCTTTTAGAAAGGCTGATTCATGCTTTTCAAGAAAGTATATAAAATCAGCTTTAAGTTTTTTCATAAGACTCTTATTCAAATTGCAAAATCTGCTTGCATTTCAAAATAAATCTTTCCCCAGTTGAGTGTTTTCTCAGATTAATTTGAAAATCATAACGTCCCATTTTTGTAAGGTCTCCTCTATCTACTCCAATACAAGAACAGAATGATAAAATATTGCATTTATGTATACCCAGGGCGTCTCTAAATTACCCATACTCACCAGAAAATAAAACCTGCCAAATTACTATTTCACGGATATCTATCTTTTAGGAAAAGAATCTAAAACCCAATAGAATCTCTCCAATAATAGGACACATTATAAAGGTAAGCCTTAGTCATTTGTACGAGTAAGGTCAGCAAGAGGTACCATGTGCTTTTGACCACTGCAGTAACTAAGCAATACACAGTAGCTCACAGCAGGTCAGTCCACCTCTTGTAACAACTGTGAGACTTACAGTTGGTTGGCAGAGATTTCGAAGAATTTGATTTCATGGGTGGTTCTCATGAAAAAGTAGCCAGCCTACTTCTAGTGTTTGCATGGTTCTGACCCATATCAACCCTGTGGAGAGGGTGGAGCTATCCCCTGGAATTGCTGATGGTGAGTATCTTGGCAGAGGCGGGATGACACCTCTTTCCCCCATGGAGTGGCTGCTGAGTGTGGGTCCCTGACCTTTCATTTAGCACTTGGACACTTGACCAGATCACTCAACCAGAAAAATGTCCCAAGAAACTCAGGATACAAACTTTAAAGTTAAAAAAAAAAAGACAACAAATGACACAGGTTCAACAAAAAGAGAGTGAAGCGCACAGCATCTCAAGAAGAAGGACTAATCAAAAGCAAGGCATTACAAAGAGGAAATGTTTCCTATTTAGGTCAGAATAATGCAAAAGAGAGAATTGTCAAAGTATAGTGCTAAATATGATTAAAGAATGCCAACCCCCCCCCCCAAAGAAGCTAGGAAAGATCAGGAAACAAATAGAGGAACAAAATGAAAGACTCCACCAGGAAATTGAAAACATGAAAGAAAGAAAGAGCACAACAAGAAATGAGGAACGAAGTAATCAAAACATAAAAGAAAACCCACTGCCATGGACTCGATTCCATCTCACAACGATTCTATAGATGGTTTCTAAGACCATCTATATTTTCATGAGCAGGCAGGCTTATCTTTCACAGAATGGTTGCTGGGATCGAACTGCCAACCTTGCAGTTAGCAGCCCAGTGCTTACCTCACAGCATCACCAGGGCTCCTTGAATGAAGCAACCAAATTAGAAAAAGCAAGAGAAATGCTCAACAATGGAGTAGAACAATTTGGGGGCAAAAAAAATTTTTTTCAAAAAAATTCTAGCTAAAATATTACAACATATCAAAATAATCATACACCATGATCAACTAGGATCCATACCAAGATTGCAAGGGTGTCTTAACATTGAAAAATCAATCATTGCAATCCACCACATAAATAAATCAAAGGAAAGAAGCCAATGCCATTTGTGAAAAATGAAGACAAATGGATAAAATACTTAAATGTTGTACCTAAAACCCTAAAACTTCTGAGAGTAAACTATGGGACCTTTTCTTCTATAAAAATAACATAACAAGCATTTCAATCAATATGCAAACAGAAGAAGACATCTCAATAAATGGGACCTCATAAAAACTTCAAAACTTCAAAAAAATTAAAAACTTGTGCTCATCAAAAGACTTCATTAAATGAGTCAATAGAAAACCTGTAGTCTAGGAAAATATATTCAGAGACAACTTATCTAGTAAGGGCATAGTCTCTAAAATCTACAAAAAGCTGCAAAAGCCCAACAACAAAAACACAAATATCTGAATCACAAAGTGGGCAAAATACAAGAACAAGACCTTCAACAAAGAATATTCAGTCAAAAAAACATATAAACACAGGTTATTCGTCATTGTCATTGTTGTTGTAACATGCCATCCAGCTGTCTCCCACGCATAGGGATCCTATGCACAACTGAACAAAACCCCTCTGCTCCTCCAGGACTCTCCCAATCGTTCTTATGTTCGAACCCATTTTTACAGCACTGTGACCGTCCATTTCATCAACTGTCTTCCGCTTTTTCTACTTTACGAGCATGGTGTCTTTTTCACGGGACGAGTATCTCCTGATAACATAGGCAAAGTACCTGCGATGAAGTCTTGCCATCCTTTTGGCTAAGGGGCTGCGAAGTTACAGAATCTCTTAGCAACTCGGGAAGGGGTGGAGTCTAGCCTGTCAATCAGGTCACAGCCAATGAGGCCTCTGTGTGGGCATGGCCTTCTCTGGAGGATTCTGGGAAACACCTGTCTTCCTCCCTGGAGGCAGGACACAGACACTTGCTGAGAGACCTTTATGATGACAAGCCAGATGGAACTACGCTGATGGAGCCAGAGCCCTGGAGCTGGAGGAGCCACGTGGAGACCCACACCAGTGCTGAGATGTTCCCACCACTGGAGCCACAAGACTTTCCACCCACTGGCCTGTGATCTTCCTGCATTCAGTGTCATTGTATGTGTTGTGAGAATCTGAAGAGGAATTTATAGACTGATATCAGACATATGAAACATACCAGACTTATGAACTTGAACTGGACCGCACATATGAGTGTCTATGGATTTATTTCTCTAGTCAACCCAGACTATCCCAGGGGCATGACGGTTGTACTTCTTCCAAGACAGATTTGTTTGTTCTGCTGGCAGTCCATAGTAATTTCAATATTTGTCGCCATAACTTAATTCACTTAATTCAAATGCATCAATTTTTCTAGTCTTCCTTATGCAATGTCCAACTTGCACACGTCTATGAGGCAACTGAAAGTATCATGTCTTGACTCAGACACATCTTAGTCCTCACCATGACAACACCTTTAAGAGTTCTTATATAGCAGATTTACCTCATGCAATGCATTGTTTGATCTCTTGACTGTTACTTCCATGAGCATTGATGGTGGATCCAAGCAAGATGAAATCCTTGACACCTTCAATCTGTTGCCCCTTTATCATGATTTTACCTATTGGTTCAGTTGTGAGGATTTTGATTTTCTTAACATTCAGTTGTGACCAATATGGAAGGCTGCAATCAACTAACCCATAGACATCCATACTATTAGGAAAAGACTCCGTTTGAAACTCAACTGAACCCCAAAAGACCCAGGGCTATTTCAAACAATAAGCAGAGCATACAGATTGAGTCAGGAGGGAAACTTACCCATAAGGTCTTCTCATTGTTGACTTGTCAAAAAGCAATTCACTGTAAGGCAATTTCTTAAACTTATCTCTGCCGACAGCCACATAAAACTGTCCGTTCTCCAGCTCGGCTCCACTTTCAACGATTTTTCCTTCTAAAGTATACAGTCTGTCAAAATATCAATGCCAACAATGAGAATGTTAGCAAGCATTCAAAGAGTTACTTAACATGGCAAAGTACATTAAAAAGCATTCTGTCCTTAATTTGGTTCACTGGTACTGTTCTCATTATGGAATTATAAATAGCTCGATGTCATTGCATTCAAGGAAATGCCAATGTTTTAATGCCAGTGTCACATCCCAATGAGTCCGACAATCTTACACGAGGATCCCCTATGACTGCCATCTGAAGGTCTCAGAGAGAAAACCAGTGACCTGTGCTTTGTGATGCTGTAAATAAAGCCTATGTCCATTAAAGATTGGTCCTTCCATGTGTAGTTTGTGAGTACGGATGCAATGTACATTTGTTGTGCACTTGCCAGGCTAACGGAGCCTCTGGCCATATTCTGTCCAGAATAGTCACCAGGGAAAGTGTTACCCTCCCCCCCCAAACAAAGACAGACCAGGGTCAGAAAAAAGAAGGTGCGAGGGCGGGCAGGAAAAGAAATCACTGCAAGTGTTAGTGATGCGGATCTGCAGCGCGGTCATGCTTCTCCTCTCGCCCTCCTTCGTGAGCAAGAGATTGGACATCCTACCTCCTCAGAATCAAAGGATTTCGCAAGAACCTCCTTTTACTGTCGAACTGCTATTCCAAACTACAATTAATATGTTACTGATTCAGGGATAGTTTTACTACACAATCGAAAGTGTCCACCAAACCTTGGGAAAAAACAGGGGGAAACGGACTGTGAAAACTGAAATATACAACTTATGCATATTATTGAAGGTTATAAATAAGAGTGAGTAACTGGAAAGATTTCAAGGACATCATAAAAATAAAATCCTCCAACTTCTCATATGACAACTCTAAGTGTTAGCGACATTTGCAAAGGAAAAGAATCCATTGTTCAGCATGTTCAGGAGCCCTGGTGGCATAGTAGGTTTTGGACAGGGTCAGCAAATTAAATTCCACAGTAGCTCCAGGGGAGAAAGAATTTTCATCTCCTCTAAAGATTTAAACCCAAAGCAGCAACTGTGCTCTCCCACAGGTTCTCTGAGTCAATATCAACTCGGTGAAAATGAATTTGGTTCTTTCTGTATTGCCTTGTTAGCGGATTATATACATGGCCGTATCTTACGACAGAATGAAGGATAAAGAAAATACCCTGCTTTCAATTTCCTGAAACGTACCTGCAGTTACTTAGTATTTAAAACAAGAAAAAGGAACAACAACAAACCTACTGAGATCTTGTCAATTCCAAATCATAGAGACGCTATATAGAGTTTCTAAGACTGTAAAATCATTAGCGGGCAGACAGCCTCCTCGTTGTCCAGTAGAGTAAATGGTGGACTTGAACCGCCAACCCTGCAGACAGCAGTCAACACTTTATCTACAGGGCTACTAGGTCTCCTTCTTACTGATGTTGAAATCTTTCTTCTTCTTTTTTCTTTTTTCGAAGTCCTTTTAATAATATTGTGTTTATATACCGCATATATGAAATAACAATACTAAACCTAGATTTCCATTTTTTTCCTGCCTTGACCTAAACTAAGATTTTGAAACAATGGCCCTACTGGTGGAAGGATGAAGGGAGGCTGCCCTGTGCCCTGTAGGATGTGCAGCAGAATCCCTCCTCTCTACCCACTAGATGGTAGGAGTACCCTCCCTTCTGCCCAGCCCAGTGGTTGAGAACTATTGCTCCAAATCCAGAGCCAGACAATCTTCATTTTTCACTTTCATTCAATATTACAAGATCAGACTCAGTAGATAACTTTTATAGCTAGAAAGTAGAAGGCAACATAGCCATCCACTTTGGAAACAGTCAACATTGAACTGCAGTTTCTTCTGCAGGTGGGTAGAAGCGATTCAATCAATTCTGACTCCTGATTTTAGCTTATTTTAGTAAGCATGCTTCATGTTGAGCTGCTTTTTTCCTTGGCTACGAAATACAAAATAAAACAGGGCTTCAAAAAGTTCATAGAAAATGGAATTAGAAGAAAATTCCCTCCTTGATTTCTTTTGACATGTATTAGTTTGGTAGGCATGGCCCTGCCTCTGTAAATGAGTGGTATTGAAAGTTTTGCCCTATCACCAACTCCCATTGTTTGTGCAAATGCCTACAGTCACTGAAGAATTTAACCTGCACAAGGCAAGGGTTCGTGTACTGTGGCCTTCAGCCGGACTACACTTGTATAATTTCCTTTTCTCACTAGTGTTTCAAATTCTATACCATTGGCTAAATTAATGACACAACTGATAGAATTACCTTATACCCCAGAGAGATGATTTATAATGTTCTCTATCATAAAATAATAACAGCTCTAAAGGGAACCATTATACAAACCATGGGTGCATGAATGGATTTTGGGCTCAGACTAAATTCTAGTCCCAATCTAAAAACAATAAGTTCTTATGACATGGTTCTATTTGATACTAACTCTCATGAAAAGACCAGCAAAAGATATGGGTGCTATAGCAAAGTGTGGTGATGAAACCAGATGGTGGCCAGCTAGCAGAAAAAAAAGAGTATCTCGGGTCTTAAAGTCTTGTCTTAAAATAAGAAGCCATCTAAGGCAGGCATCAACTACTTTTCCATAGAAGAAATACACCAGCCTTTGTGATCCAAGAATTTTAAATAATGAAATCCAAATCCGAAGGAGGGAATGGTATCAGAGCTTAAATTCTGAACACCAAGTTTGCAGAAGCCTATGGAAGACAGTGGAAGCCCAAAATCCATTTGCAGGGTTAAGCTTCCAGTAAATTCCTTCTGAACCTCGTTCAGGTATATGAATGTTCATGCTATCAGACAGAGAGGATTGTAAAAGTCCATTATGGAAGATGTAGTTAAGTTAAAATTTAATATATTATCATTTGATCTCCCTTTTGACCCATTTTAAAGTAGATTCCATTTTTAATACTTTCTACTTTCTTTTTGATTAAAGTTTTCCTATGTTTTATCTAGTCATTGTCACTGATGTTTTTTGTGTATTTTGTATGGTTTTCTGCATAGGAAATTCAGGATAGGCAAATTATTGTGGTAGTTACTGAATAAATACCTAGGGCCATGGGAGGGGAAGATGGAGGTAAGTGGGGAGCTAACAACAATGAGTAAGTAAGAAAATGTTCTGAAATTGATTGTGGTGATGATTGCACAATTCCTCTTAGCATGATTGACTGTTAAATTTCACGATATGTGAAATATATGCCAAAAAATATTTGTATGAGATAACGGATTTTTCTATGAACTTTTGGAAGCCCCTTGTATACAACAAAATGTTAAACCAATGTTGCTGGAATGCCTTTGATATTGCAATATATTGATTCATAGATTCATGAGTGTCAGTAATTTTCTGTTAAGAGAAAAGTATAGGTATCTCAAGTGAACAGCGACCAGATTTTACTATGTCTGATATTACATTGGGAACTAAGTTTTTATAGGTATGCCAGTGTTTGAGGAGCCTATAGCTATGTTTTCATTTCATTATTTGAACTTATATTTTCATTTATATCTATAAATTTGTTCTTATCAATATAAGAATACATAGGGGTATCTGAGCTTGCAAATAAATGGATGAATATAAGCGTGTATATATATTTGCAAGTATGTGTATATATATAAATATATATATAAATATATATATTTGCCATGCTTAGTATTAGCTACGTCCTTATTGGGTGTAATTGCATGTGTGTGTACCAAAAGACAAAATGTATATGTCATGATCATAATATATAGAAAATTATTAAGCTCTTCTCTTATTCCCAATGCCAAGATCAAATCCAGAAGGGTCACAGGTTCAAAACAAATTTAAAAGTACAAGTTGAAAGGACAAAGAAACATTAAATGGGAAGGAGATGCCCTCTTCAACAACGGGTGCTGAAAAAATTGACCTGTGGAAGAATAAAACAGGACACATAACCTCATCCCATGCACAAAAATGAACTCAAGGTGGATCAGAGACCTCAATGTAAAACCCTAAGCTATCAGGATCATCAATGAGAAAATTGGGACAAATCTAAGGACCTCAGTGCAGGGCATACACAGGCCACCAGCTATAACAAAGGAAACACACACAGTGGAAGACAAACGAGATGAAAGGGACCTATTAAAAACAAAACACTTGTGCCCATCAAAGGATTTCATCCAAAGAGTAAAACAAGAACCCACAGATCAAGAAAAGATACTTAGCAATGACACAAAGGGCAAAGGGCCAGTCACTAGAATCTACTGAATACTGTAACCCCATGATAAGAACAAAACAAACACCCTCTTAACAGGTGAGCAAAGCCCTAATTAGACAACTCACAACAGATGATGTCCAAATGGCTAACAAGCACATGAGGAAATGCTCCCGTGTACTACCTATCTCTGAAATGCAAATTAAAACAACAATGATATACAAACCCACAAACATAGCCAAATTTAAAAAAAAAGTAAAGTAACAGAGAATAGCAAATGCTGGAGAGAGTATGGAGATATTGGAACACTTAAACACTGCTAATGGGCTTATAAATACATACAACCACTGTGGCAAGCAATATGATGATCCCTAAAACAACTAGCAATAGAAATGACCACATGCCCCAAAGAAACAAGATACAGATCACGGACAAACATATGCTCTCCCATGTTCAATGCAGCACAGTTCATCATAGCAAGAAGTTAGAAACAGCCCAAATTCCCATCAGTAGAAGATTGGATTTTTAAAACTCTGTTATTTACACACGATGGAATACTACACATCCCTACAAAACACCTCCTGACACGAAGTGATCGAGAAATCATGATGCTGAGTGTAATTTGTCAATCACAAAAGGGCAAATGTGGTATGAGTCCACTGCTGTAGGGATGAACAGCAGGCTGGGAGCAGGCTCAGGCTTCCAGGCTGTGCAGTCCACTGGCCTGGTCAGTCAGCAGCTCAGTAAAGAGCCCGCCTGCTTCCCATGAGCCATGCACCATCCTCTCCGGGTGTGTCCGGCAGGCCACTGTGGCGGAGGGTTCCTCGCGTCAGCAGGGATCAGATTTTCAAGAGAGGGATAGGGGAGGATGACCACTTAGTGGTGGCCACGCAGAGGTGTGATGAGGTCCCTTCCTACCTGAACTGGCAGCGATTCTACAGTGATGAGGATACTGGTGGGAAAACCAAGTCAGGAGGGCAGAAAGGGAGCATACATGTCTTCGAGAAGACAAGTGCATTTCTGTTGGCCGAAAAACGGGGAGGCCCAACTTCCTAGCAGGGAAAAAGCTGACCAACAAGACTCTTTAGGACCCTAAATGGGGAGTATATCTGGTATTATGCTCCTCGTAGGGCACATTGGCCAGAGTTTCTGTACAAGCCCTGGGGACCCAGGTCATGTGCCACAGAATATCGGGTAATTGAACCCAGGATCTTCAAGGAGCACAACACACTCCAAAGGCCATGAACTCCACCTCAAACCCCAGGGATTGAAGACTGAAACTACACGGTGTGTGAATGAACAACAGACCACTGTACCAAGAGTGTTGACTCTGGTCCCCACGGTCGAATGCCTTTGTGTAGTAAATGAAACACAAGTCAATATCTTTCTGGTACTCTCTGCTTTGAGCCAAGATCTATCTGTTATCAGCAATGATATCCCTTGTTCTACATCCTCTTCTGAATCCGGCCTGAACGTTGGCAGTTCCCCGTCACATGCATATCACTTTACCAAGAAAGATGAGCCTATCTGCTCCCATAAAAATATGTAAGGTCAGAAACCTTATATAGAATCACTATGATTGATAGCCGACCAGACAGCAATGGGTTTCATTTTGGTTATACCACGTGGCACAACAATTCAATTGCTAGACTACAGCCTTCTAATATAGTCTGCTTGTTTACCAAAATACATACATGTAATGGGAAAAGATTGGAAATATCCTAAATTTCTAGCAAGAGGAGACTCTTAAAATAAATTAGGGCACACCCCAAAAGTATAATGCTATATAGTATGAAAAATTATGATATAAGCTATTTTGCTATGATAAATCTCTAAGATTTGTTGTTACAGGGAAAAAGCAAGTGCAAATATAAGCTTTCCCAATTCCATTTTTTAAGAAATAAAATACGTACATGCAAGCATATACATAGAATATTTTTGGAGTGAGACCAAAAAAGTATTGGCAACAGATTGAGAAGTCTGGAATTGTAATTTTGTTTATTTATATTTTGTCAAGTTCGAATTTTTCTGGTGTTTGTTTAACCACATGCAAACAATATTTTCCATTAAAACACCTAACTATATTTAAAATTCTCAATGCTCTGAAACCGCATATACTAATATATGTGAACATATAAAATTTGCCTATACATGTAACCAACTGAAAAATGTAATATGAAAGTGATTTGAGAACTTACTTATGTGTCTGTTGATTTTATATATATATATCCAAACCAATTTACTGCCATCGAGTCAATGCTGATTCATAGTGACCCAATAGGACAGGTTAGAATTGCCCCTATAAATTTCCTAGTGTGTAACTATAGGAGTAGAAAGCCCCATCATTCTCCCTCAGAACAGCTCGTGGTTTTGAAGTGCTGTATGTATGTGTGTATGGGAAAATAGACATTACCAGTGGCCATGAAGTAAATTCCAACTAATAGCTTGTGGTTTGACTTGTGGTTGGAAGTCCAACACTTCCCTGACAGCACTGCTGGGCTCCTTTGTACTGTGTAGAGACCCATGAGAGCTTGAGAGTGAGAGAGGACTCCTACCAACTACATACAATGGAAAGACTGGGAGAAGATAGTATTCAATAACCACCAGAAAACACACGAGTAAATTTGAACCCACAAATCACTCCTTGGGAAGGAAACGAGGCTTTATGCTCCCATAAGGAGTTCCAGTCTGAGACACCCAAGGAGGCAGGTCTACTCTGACCTATAGGGTCACGATGAGCTGGAATTGAATCACTGAGAGTGGGCTTTCCCACCTAAGGAAAAATAAGATATTACAGCCTCCATCAAGGAATAATTCTATAAGGAGCCCACAACCCTCACAATTAAAATGCCATATTTAAGTTATAGAACCAGAGAAAAATGCTTTTGATTACTTCAATGTAATAGTCTCTCCTAAAATGTATGCATTTAAGCATCTTCCTTCAATCCACTAACACTTTGTTATCTGGCTTTTTTTTTCAACCCCACATAAACGTTTGGACCATCAAACAATCATAAATCTCTCTTCATATGATTCAAAAAGTTGGTGTTCTCAAAAAAATTATATCCTCAACTAAAAAATAAGTTGATTCTTGCCCTTTTGTTCTAAATCAAAAGAATTTTTAAAATGGTTTGTGCTATTTATGATGTGCCCCTACTTTGTGCCAAAGACTCTTTGAAGCTCTTAATAGGGGGTACCTCATTCTTCAAAACAACCCTATGAGACAAGTTCTATTGTACAGATAAGGAAACTGAGGCAAATAATTAAGCACACAGCATAACTGATGGGGCAGAATTCATAGAAAGGGTGACTCCCGCGCTTCCCAGAAGTGCCAGCTGTTGCAAAAATCAACCATTTGCAAGAGTAGTTTGAGGTACCTATGGACGGCTCCACTCCTCAGGGTTATTTTTTCCGTGACCATTTGTAGTACGTGATCCCACTGACTCAAGGCTTTTCTTGGGATGAGGAGACGAGAAGCTGGGTGTATGAGGTCTCCATTTGCAATCAAGCTGGGAGGGGGAAAAGCAACATCAAAGCCCATGAGCCAAGCCATTTGAAATCATTATGCTTTTCAAACAACCAAACAAATCCCAAACCATGTCAACTCCACATCCAAAAGGCTCTCACTTACAAGATAGTGCAGGGTTCCTGGAGCGGTTTTCTAAAGCGAGCTGACACAGTGATCTTGCTGTGGATTACTGGTTTTACCTATAAAAGCAAAGAAAAGGAAGATAAGCTGTTGAGCGTATGTCAGTGGTTGTTGGTTTTGTTTGTGGGGTGTGTTTTTTTTGTTGTTGCTTTTATTTTTTTTCCTGGGATAGGAAAAAAGTACAAGTTTCCAGAAAACTGGCTGAGACCTGCTGTGTCTTTGTTAAAACCTTATCACCACCACTGCCCACCCACCTCACTTATCTAAAATGCTCAGTTCACCTTCTATCAATATTGCATGCCCTTGAGAGAGCTCTGAAGAAAAGAAAAGCAAAAATGCACTTAAGCTCTGGACATACTGCTCATGATCGGTACAAGCAAAGGAAATAGCTTGAGTCAACTTTTAAGCAATGTTTTCTGTAAGAGAAAAATAAAATAATCCCATAAGACCTTGAGCCCTGAAACACCCTCCCCATCCAGTCATAGCATACTGTGTTTGGCTCCCTCTCCTCTCCCACTCTCACTACACCTGTGTGGTAGTTACATAATCTGGTGTCAACTTGAGACTATTAATAGTGAAGGGGTGGAGACTAGCTAGTCAATCAGGTCCCAGATTGATGAATTCATCTGGAGGTGCTATGGAGATAAATAGCTCTCTGGAGGCAGGTCACATAGATGATCTCTGCTTTGTATTCCTGCAGACAGGCCACATGGAGCTAAAGTGATGCAGCCGGAGCCCTGGAGCTGAAGGAACCACGTGGAGACCCACAAAAGCACTGAGATTCTTCCATCACCACTGGATCCACAAGACTTTCCACCACTAGCCTGTGATCTTCCTGCATTCAGCATCATTGCATGGCTATGTGAGTCTAAAGAGGAATTTATGGACTAGTATTGACATATGGGATAATATCGGACTTATGGACTTGATCTGGACTGGGATGGGATGTTTTCTTCATGTACAATCACTCTTTGATATAAAGTTCTCTCTTACACATATGAGTGTGTCTGAATTTGTTTATCTAGTCTACCTGTACTAACACAACCTGTTTTCTATTGTCACCAACAAGGCCTAGACCACACCCTAGTCTCCTGAGACCGAAAGGTCCTGTTGTCTTCATTTAACTTTCCCCTAATCTATCCATGCCCACCAGAAACCTTGGTCCCTGTAACCTTCGCATCAGCGTGGAGCACTGTTTCCTCTTCTTTTGGTTCTAGAGCCCATACTGTTGCTGGGGAGAACCACACTGAGAGTTCTTCCTGAACAAGGGCTTTGGGCATCAACTGTATTTTAGTGCTGGTCAGCCATTCTTCTGTTCCACCCGAGTCAAGCAGAGTGACCATTCTCCATGAGGGATATCAACTCCTTCTCTCTCATCCTAATCCCTAAATTTCTCTCCTGATGTGCTCACACTCAACAAACTTCAAGAATATAGAAACCAATAGCCACAAAACCCTTCCCACCACAATCCAATGCATTCATATCATCGGCAATGTTCTTCTCTGCTTGTTTCATAAGAAGTGCCTCCCCCATCTCTTCTTTCCTTTATTCATATTCCTATTTCTTCCCCTTTAGGCCAATATTCAGTATCCTGCTCTCTGGTTTCCACCTGCACCACTGAAAAATTAGGTTGTATGTTCAAGAATGGTGTATAAGAGACTTCCGGGAAGAGGGTGACTGAGTAACACATAACAGGGGGAGTCCACAGAAATCAGCCCAGGAGAGTTACTAAGAGGGAAATTCAACACTACTGGATCGCAGGAGGAGCATCATAAAGATAACCACAAGGTTTTGAGGAGCTGAGGCTTTTGGCTTACCACAGTGGAGGCTGTCTAGAGTTTGACCTTAGCCCCACCACTGTCTTGGCTGAGCCAGGACCATTTGGAACCTGTGCAGGGGCTTTATCTCAACAGAGCCACAGCTTCATGCCGCCTCAGGGCAGGGATTAAACCCATGCAGCCCCGCGGGCAGGGGTTGGGGCTCAGCTATATTGTTACTTTTGTTTCCCTCTCTTCTCTCTAACCACCACCCCACCCCAGTCTCACCAGGCTTAGGTGGGCTTTTTTCCCCTCTTTGTCACTTCACTGTTCTCTCACACTCCACTGCCGACCTCCATACCATTCCCCTTAGCCTAGGGCATTTATGCCGGCCTCCCACCCAGTTAGGTGAGCTCCACTCTGTGCAGCATAGCCAACCTCCACTAGGGGGTACTCCACCCAAATTCTTACAAAGGAATTCCTGCCTGTGTGGCTGGGGGAGATCCTATTTTTCCTCTGTTGTCCCACATGACTGAGGGAACGTCCTCCCACCTACCTTAGTGCCTCACCCGGCCCAAGGAAGCTCGGCCAACACTCTCCAACATTCCAAGCTGCTTCAGGAACCCCTGCCCAACCTCTGCAGTGATCTACCTGACCAGGGCAATTCCACCCACCATTCGTGGTGTTCTACACCAAAGAAAGCAACCCACCAGCCTTCTGGGACACTCCCCTGAGAAGGAAGCCACAGGAGGATAAAGTGGTAGGCTAATTCCATAGTGAAATTAGCTATAGGCACTTCAAAGAAGCATTATTACAAGTCTCCCAGAGAGAGCCAGTGCTCTTCGGCTCACTGGAAAATGGCACCTGGATCCTCTAAAAAATGCAACACAAACAGCCATCAGCCCCAACGGTCTCAATGAAAAAAAAACAGGAGAAACAAAAGGCAATAGCAGAAGATGTCCTGAACCTAATGACGAGCACAGAAGAAGCAGACATTGATCTGACACAGGGAAATTTTCAGAATGCTGCTTTGAGTCACATAGGATATGAGGGAAACAATAAAGAAAAAGGATGAAATGATAAAGGAGATAAAGTCCATCCACCAAATGGAAATACACGAGTTTAGGGAAAGGAGATAACAAAAACCAGGAGCAGACTCATGGACAATGAGAATCGAATGGAGGAAGCAGAGAACTGCAGCAGTGACTTGGAGGACAGCCAAGCAGACTTTAACAAATGAGAACAAAAATCTAATAAGATCATCAGAGAAGCTGAAGAAAGCCTAAGAGCTATGTCTGATGCTATGAATAGGAACAACATTAGAATTATTGGATTACCAAAAAAGACACAACAAACAAGTCATCTGCAACAATAGTGAGGGAATTCTTGGAGGAAAATTTCCCCAGCTTAATGAATAAAAACCAGGCAACCATTCAGGAGGCTGAAAGAACACCAGCTAGACTGAATCCCAAGAAGAAGTCACCGAGGCATATAATAGTTCAACTATCCAGCTTTGAGGAAAAGGAGAAAATCATGAGAGCAGCTAGACAAAAACAAGCAATCACATATAAAGGTTC